ACAGATTTGGATCTCAATGGAATGAGGTGTCTTTCACCATTAACGTAAGGAACTGGTTATGGGAGTAGCTTCAGACTCAGGAAGATAAGTGGACTGGCTAACTTGACAACCCAGGATATTTGGGAGACTTGCCACCACCAAGCATAATGTTTAAGGCATGGTGTTTCTTCCATATCTAGTGTGGCACTGCCTGTGTGACTGTGTTTGACCAGGTCTGGGTAAGGGCAGAGAGGCATTGAAGGAGGTGGTAGCAGTATGCCTGCCTTCCTGAGAACCTAGTGTGTCACCTGCTGCAAGAAACTATTCCTTCCACATTCCTTCTTCTAACTGGAATTTTCCATGAGAAGATGGAAGCATAGCTTTCCCCCATTGGTACCTCCTCTTGGTACCAATTCCATTAGCTGAGATGGTTTAGTTTTCCATGAGATAAGGAAGACAACTGTATTTTTAGCTGGTTCTGGAGGAGAAGGATTCAACTTGTGCATTGTGTGTTTTCTCAGAAAGCTTTTCTCTGTAGAATAATTTGATGCAGGTAGATCACTTTACCAACATCTTTGAAACTAAACCATCCTGAGCAAACAGAGATTTGAGACTCTTTGCTATTCTGTTTCTTGCTCTTTTTTCTTTAACCTCTGCTACTCTTAGGATTTCAAGATTATCAAATTAGTTTAAAAATATCTTGAATAATTGAATTCTATTCCTCTAATCCAAACTAAAAACTGTAGTATATATGAACCTCTCCTGTCTGAATTTCCACATTCTGGAAACTGGTTACTGTATGTCCTTGCCTAAGAAGACTAGAGATGCTTGCAGATATTGAAAGTGAAACAAGAGCCTCTAAGACCCAAAAGAATAGCCAGCAGAAACTCTCCCAGCCATGCCAGCTTTCTCTCACCTCTTGTTAAGAATCAAGTACAACTGGACCAGCAGTTAGTGTAATTGCTATGTCACCGAACTCCCATGTAGTCGACCGCGGTTCGAGCCCTGGACCCGGTGGCTTAAATTCACGCTGGGCGTGTGTGCATGTGTGCCCAAGACCCCGAGAGGAGAATGGAGGAGAAGGGATTGTGGTGTGGCCATCCCTCTTGGGGGGTGATGGAGGATAAGGGATTGTGGTGTGGCCATCCCTCTTGGGGGGTGATTTCTTGCCTTCTGTCTCTGTCTTTCTGGCAAGTGCACATGCTGTATAGCAAAAAAAAAAAAAAAGAATCAAGTACAATGATAATAAATATCATCAATTGGGAGTCTATTATGTTATTATGTTTCAGGAGTATTGTATTTCTTATCTTGTTGGAATTCCCACAAAAAAACCCATGATACAGGAGTAATAATAATGATGATGATAACAATAATAATGATGATAATAATAGTGATGATGATAAACCAAGGGTAGATATTTTACAAAACTAGGAAAGCTTATGTTTTAAGTGTCAGAGTACTATGATTGCATCCTCCCCATTCAAAGACCAGGAAGAGACCTTTATAATGTGTTTACACGGTCTTATGTTTTGTAAATTCTGCAAATGGAAGATTCTTCCACTGTAATCAGTTAAGATTACTTCTCTTTTCATGCCAACTTCCCCTCCATTATTGTCCCCATGTGTAAAGTGGCTTTGTAGAGGCTTATGGGAATGTTTTGGACACATCTAAGGGGAAGTGACATTAAAGATGTATTAGTTGAGTTTAGTGGGTATTCTTATGGGGTATCTAGTCACAATACTCTAGTAAGTTGTGGCATCTAGAGATACTCCCACTGTCCTCTTGGCCAAGTGTAAAGAAATAAGGATGACAAGAAGTTAATGTGTTCTATACTTTCAACGTGTATTTAAGATTACTCACCTTATAAGAAAACCTGAAGTTTCATAAAATCTTAGCCCATGTGTAGAGAAGATTCTTAGAGGTTTCACCATTTTGATCATAGACCTAAAAATCAACACATGACTATAAATAACCAGTTGTAAAGCTGAAAGAAATATACTTCTGAGTATCAAAAATAAAAAGAAAATTTGATAAACCATGCTAGAGAAAAGGCTGAGTTACCTTTCTATTACCTTGATAGAAAATATCACAAAATTATATGGGGGAGATGATTGAAAAGTTTGAAGAATGTAAGGAAAAGATTTATAGGTATATTAGGCACTTAGTTAACAAAAATATTACATTTTAGATTTGTAATGTTTTTGAAATATGGCAGCTTTTAAAATTTATGGAATGTGTCATGATCTATTTTCCTATTCTAAATGAAGAAGTGTTTTTTTTACCTATATTTGTATTTATAATTCTGCATTTTTTAAAAACTGATAACTCAGAACTGTATGAATATCAGACAAGGTCAAGTACTGGCCCAACCTGTCCCATGATGTAAGGAATAGAATACACCATTTTCCCTTTATGGTCTCTGGATTTCAGTGGGAGATAAATACTTCCCTTCCTTACTTGGGAAGCATCTTGGACTCTTTGGGAAGGAAAACAGAGCATCCTCATGTTCTCGTTCATTTCTCTACTAATGTAAACAGGGCTGGCCTTGCAAATACTGAGATTCCCCATATAGAGCACACATTTAAAGGAAAATAAGTGGAAAGATTTATCCAGAAATGTTCTTCCCCCTTGCCAGTCACTGAAGATCTTTATATTGGAAGGTTCCTTTTAACTTTTTTTTTTTTTTTCAATTTATGTCAGAGGGCATATGTACTCACCAAAGAGATACAGAGAGGAAGGGAGAGGGAGAAAGCACCCCTCAACAAGAGATCCCTTCTGCATTTCTCCATCCTGTTGTGATTTGGGGCATGTGTGCATGCGCACATTTGAAGAATGTAAGGAAAAGATTTATAGGTATATTAGGCACTTAGTTAACAAAAATATTACATTTTAGATTTGTAATGTTTTTGAAATATGGCAGCTTTTAAAATTTATGGAATGTGTCATGATCTATTTTCCTATTCTAAATGAAGAAGTGTTTTTTTTACCTATATTTGTATTTATAATTCTGCATTTTTTAAAAACTGATAACTCAGAACTGTATGAATATCAGACAAGGTCAAGTACTGGCCCAACCTGTCCCATGATGTAAGGAATAGAATACACCATTTTCCCTTTATGGTCTCTGGATTTCAGTGGGAGATAAATACTTCCCTTCCTTACTTGGGAAGCATCTTGGACTCTTTGGGAAGGAAAACAGAGCATCCTCATGTTCTCGTTCATTTCTCTACTAATGTAAACAGGGCTGGCCTTGCAAATACTGAGATTCCCCATATAGAGCACACATTTAAAGGAAAATAAGTGGAAAGATTTATCCAGAAATGTTCTTCCCCCTTGCCAGTCACTGAAGATCTTTATATTGGAAGGTTCCTTTTAACTTTTTTTTTTTTTTTCAATTTATGTCAGAGGGCATATGTACTCACCAAAGAGATACAGAGAGGAAGGGAGAGGGAGAAAGCACCCCTCAACAAGAGATCCCTTCTGCATTTCTCCATCCTGTTGTGATTTGGGGCATGTGTGCATGCGCACACACACACACACACACACACACACCATATTTGTCAAGGCACTGTGGCCAGAATCTAAACTGTGCTATTGGCCATGTAGAATCTGGCTGTCTCAACCATCAGGCCACAGAGCTGACCCTGAGGTTTTTAAATTTTGTCTTAAAATGTGATGCCTCTACAAGGGTTCTACCCTGGCTAATCAATGGAATAATCCTCTCTAAGTTTTTTCCAGGCATCCCTCAGCTAAAGGGTCTTCTCCCAATTCAGATTAAAGATGATGGTGGCAGATGGTCAAAAAGTAGGGAGAAAGTAAGAGGCGGGAAATTTTACCTGGTTTTCCTCAGCACCTCTTTGTGACATGCTAGTTACTTAGAAATACAGTCCAATTCTCCAGTGAATATGAGAAAGGCAAGTTTTCTCACTAGTTCTCTCTTCTCCTAATTCCCAGTCTATGTCACCAGTAAGTGAATGGTCCCTTTCCTATTTTTATGACTAAAGGTATGAATGATCACATGTAGTCCAACTGAATCATTTGTAATTATAAGCACACATCAAATAAATATCTAGATATTAAAATGGATAGACCCTCATGACTGAATGTTTTCATAATCTACTGGACCTATTTAGATGAAGGATGTTTTACACAGAATTGCCATGTGTGTAAGATTCTTTTTCTTTCCATAAAAGACATAAAATGGTTAAGAACATGGACTCTTAACTAGTTGTCTAACTTGCTAATGTTTGCCTTATGAAAATTATCTTTCTATGCCTTTTTTCTTATCTGTAAAACAGATATGGTAATATTCTGCTATACAACTGATAGTGTGCTCCCAAATCCACTCCTGTACTTCTTCTGTACCACGAGGGAACTTGTTTCCCAGGATCCTTTGCCCTCTGGCCCCTATGCAAATGTAGTCAGGAGTAGGCCTTGACAGAAGATATGGGGGCAGGAAGAAGAGAGATAGTAGGGCATTCCTCCCTCTTCTTCACTTTACTTTCTGTGTTTTTCTGGGAGTAGCTTCCTTCATAACTCCAGGGCTCATCAGATAGGTCCTCCCTCCATTGTTTCAGCTTCTACATGCAGTGCTTATGAAAGTTCTAACTCCTGCCACTTAATCCCAACTTTTGGGCACTGGAAACTTGACCTCCTCTCATTGTTTCCTCAACCCTGGTGTTGATGGTAGCTATTTGTTTTTGCTATTCTCTGAGTTACTTCACAGACCTGTTTGATTTCTCACCTCTTTTAACACATGCTTGATGAATTCCCTGTATTCGATTCCTTCTACTTGAAAGACCTAGAGTGTTTTTCATTTTCCTGGATGGACCCTGATTGTTACCGATACCAAACACACAGGGCAATTGGAGTGATTAAGTGAATTAAGGAGCATACTTATTCTGTGTATAGCGTGGAACACAGAAAGTACCCAACAAATGGTAGCTATCAATTGACCTTCTCAACATTGATACCAAGAATGTAGTGCATGGATTAGTATAATTTTTTTCTCTTAATCTTAGTGGTTAAAACATGACATCATTTAAACCAGAGAAATCTGAAATGGACACAGCTGCCAACAAAGACTACCAAGTGTTTCTGGCTCATGTGCAGTCTCCAGTTTCCATAGAAACCAAGCAAAGAAAATTTGCTAAAGGAAGACTAAAAAATAAGTAGATTCAGGTCTGTATGATTATGTCTCAAACTCTTTGGAACATAAGCAGGCTATTATTACTATTATCTTATTGTCTTTTTAATATATTCTTTTCTTATAAGATGCAATAGACAAATTCTTTTTCTTTGCAGAGAATGACACAAAGTATAGGATTCCTTTGCCACAGCACATTTCCTATCGCATCCCCAATAGCAGTACTTCCAAGGCTACTGTTACTGAGTTTACTGCCAAATTGCTAGATAAACCTAGCTCTTATCATTCTGTGGCTATTCAGAGGTTGTTTGTAGTATGCTGTTAAGATACTGAAGTAAAGACCAAAAATATTAGTTTAAGCAACATCCTAGAATGAAGAGGGACCAACTGAAATCACAACTAACATCCTGGCAATGAGCTCTCAGTTAGAATGGAAATACATTTCCCTACTTGGAGGTAGGGATGGATTTTTTGGGGGGGATCATTTGGTTTTAGTCCAGCTCCTTAAATTCCTCTTCAGCCATCAGAATTGGTGGCCGTAACAAGTGAGACAACTGAGTCAGCCCTGCCAGAATTTAAATCAATACCAGGCAATTTTACTTCAATTTCCAAGCAATTTTAAATGTTTTTCTTTAAAATATCATCAAAAACGGAGAAACTATGAGAATGGGAGTGAAATGCAAGCATTTAGAAAAATACCAAGGTAAACTTCTCTAGTTTCTGTGCAAAAGAAGGGTTGCATGTGTCCCCTAGAGGTATCTTTAGGGTACTGGGGAGTCTATACTGGCACAATCAGTAGAACTCCGTGCACAATGATCTCCTTTGAATAGCTAACTTCCTGGTGCATACTTTGCTCATATAGATAGCACACAGAAAACAAACAAACAAATATAAGAGATACCAAACTCCTTAAGTGATTGTGATTATGATTGGATTATAGCTATGGGACAGGATGGCAGAGTAGAAGACTTAACATCAGAAGTTCTGGGGTTATCTCTGCCATGATGAAGCTGTGTGACCCTGAGAAAATTGCTTCATTTATTCATTTTTCACTAGGGGCTTGAGACAGAGAATTCATGACTCAGCACAAAACATTGGCAAAACTGAGAAAATTGGCTTGCGAATAAGCACATGATGTACACACAAACACCACAACATAATAAATCAGCATTTGTTAAACACCTACTTCAAAACCAGTATTACTATAATAATGACTTTGTGAAAACAACCCAGAGAAGCTTTTCATATGGGTTGGCTATGGAAGTGGGTAAGAGAGAGCTAAAGTTTCCCTAATAGCAATAAAGAGACTCCAGAATGGAAGCACGGAATAAATGCCCCCTATCTGACTTCTCTCAAGTTCCTATTTGTTAGGGTCCTTCTGGTCATCTCCAATTGTTCTTCTAATGGCAACTCTTTCACCTGTGACTTCTGTGGCCACATGCATATTTTGTATCCAGTTGGATTTCTTCAGAACACCAGATTTTTCTATACTCCTACTTCTAACCAGGAACCTACAAGTCAAATACTTTCTCACTGCACTTTTATTTATTCATTTTTTAAAAAGGCAAGTCTTCACCTTATGATTGAGTTAAAGAATACAAAATTTCACAAGGAGAATAGCTATGAAGGGATCAATCAGGCAAGTCTTTGTTGCCATGGCATCGAGATGACCACTTTAATAGCTCTAGAGAGAGTCATCCCAAAGTGGGCAAGGTGACTCTCAAATGTGCTATCATTTATGTTCCTTCATTGTAAAGTTCTTAACAATTGTGTGAGCTAATCCTCCCAACAGGCCTGATGAGGTAGATCAATACTATTATCCCCTTTATAGCTCTATATTGTTATCCACTTTATGGTCCATTATCTTATCAGTCAATTACTCAACCTTTAAAGTCTCATCAGTGCCCTCTCATAATAATACCCCACTTTGTGATTTTTGAGTCTATATTTCTTGTGAAACACAGGCCCTTATAAGAGAGGTCAGTGCTAGGGTAGGTGGTACAAGAAATACTGTGGAACTGAGTATCATTAGCATTGTTACTCAAATACAAGGACTCTAAGTAACAGGCACTAGGCAGCTACCTTGAGATCAGGACCAATACTCATTCACTGGGTGACCTTGGAAAAGCCTCCTTTCTGAAATCCTATTTGTGCATCTATAGAAAAAAGATAATAATAATTCCAGTATAAGTCATCATAATTTCCATCTCTCTTTTCTGCAGTTGTTAGGATCAAATGAAATAAGAGCTGTGAATATTCTTTGGAAGGAAATGCAGTAGAGATGGTAATGATGGTATATATCAAAGCTATAAAATAAACCAGCTTTGTTCCCTGTAAATATTTGTATCCTAAAGTACAAACAAATGAGCTCAGTGTCTAGCTGGCTGGTTTCAATAAGATGATAGTCTGCCCATGTTGTGCATGAAGAAACTAAGACTAGCTGTAAGTCACCCAGTGGGGCAACTGATAAAGACTAGGAAACAGAACTGAAGATCTTGTACGAGATCACCAACTTGTTCCAGCTTTTCTAGGGCTTTGTTGAAAAACCCACATGGTTGGTCACCCATCTCTGAGACTGAAGTCCCTATCTACACCCTTCTTGCACTGATCAGGTCCAGACAAACTCGCAAGATGCCCTGCATAGCTGGGTGTCACAGATAAAAATATAGTTTCACCAAGTCATTTACTTTTACTCCTGGACACTTGGAAGGCTACAAATATAGTCCCTTGGATTCAACTAAGATCACATGGCTAAATTCTGGCAAACAGAACATGGGTAGAAATATATGGTACTTCTAGACTTGGCACTTAAAACATCTTGTAACTTTCCCTTCTCTCTCTTTCCATCTTCCACTGGAAGAAGGCCCCATTATACTGGAGAGTCACATGATGAAAGGAGTAGGGGTTTCTGAATGCCCATCTTGGGGAGAGTTACCTGTTAAGAGTCACCTCACCTTTCTAGAAGGTTGGGAGAAATAAATTTTGCATCAAGCCACTGAAATTATTTTGGTTATAGCCTACCCTCATAATGCACTTTGTTCTCAAGGTCAGAGAGAATACACATTTCTTATGAAACTTTTAAAATTTGGGTTCTGCAGAAACTGACCCAGAGAAAAGGATTCAAGTACAAGTAGTTATTTGGGGAGTGTTGTAAACACAAGCAGGAGAATAGAAGAAGTGAAATGGGAAAGGGAAGGAGCCATGAAGGATGTTTATTAGGCTAACTACCTGTGTGGGTGACTGAAGCTTAATTCTGTGGGAGAAACTGAACCAGTGTTAAAAGCATCTCTGAGTTATTCCATTGAGGGGAGTTGGGACTGGAGCATGTATACACCACTTTCTGTTGGGAGTAGAGGATGCTGATTTTTTTTGGGTAAGGCAACTGAAGAAAGATGCAGATACTGGCTGTTAAAAATGGGCTAGATCCACCCCTACTCCTGGGAGGTGTTTTCTTACTTTCCCTCTCACTGTCTCTCTCTGTTTTATAGGGCACATGTCCTACGGAAAAACCAAACCAAACCAAAACAAAACAAGAAAAGAAGTAAGAAACAAAAGAGAGAGAGAGAGAGAAAGGAAGAAATAAAGAAAGAAATGAGGTAGAACTCACTGAAATGGTCATATCCAAAGAATGGAGTTGAGACCAACAGCATTTGCTACACAGTGGTTTTCTTATAAGCCTCTCTTTTTCTTTTTGTATTACATTTGTGGAGTACCTATGACAACTCAAAACTTTTATGATTTTTCTTTCACTCAGTTGGGTCTTTAGCCATAAGAAATCTTCAAAAAGTTCATGGAAAATATGTATTTTGACAAAAGAAATGTCAAAAATGAATTTCAAGATTTGTTTGTACCAAGATAAACTCCTACTTAAATTCTATTTTTCCACAAACCTTTTTAAGTGTCTGCATCCAGATAAGTGAACTGCTCCACAGAAGAGCTTGTGTGCAGTCATGGAAAGGGTACTGAAGGGAACTATGATATATTTTTGTAATACTTACACAGCTTTTTCTGTGCCTTTGGGGCTCTCATCTCTTCTTTTTGGGCCTTAGTCTCCCCACGTGTAAAATTCAAGGAGCTTGAGCAATGATTTCTAAGTCTTCTTTCAACTCTAAAATTGGAACTCTAAAATCTTACAGCTCTGATATTACACAACATGCGCCTGTTTATAGAAGGCTCCCTGGTTGTTCAGGATGGGAAGGAAGAATATGATCAGAGAAGAGAAGGAGGATGCACACACAAGGAACTCTCTGGGTAATAGACAATGGGGTTTATAATCACCTCAGCTGAGGTTCAGCCAGAGTATTAGCTGAACTTTTTGAGACTATCAGACTGGGTCACAACCTTGATGGACCCTAAGGCATAATTTTGATGGAGACTATAGATCTATAATATTGGTTTTAATTCTTGCTCAGAAGACTTTACATTTTTTTAATGTGTCTGATAAAAGATGTTAATTCTCAGGTAGCTTCAAGGTGAGATGGGAAATTCAGGACTGGGAATCTGAGATCCAGTTGGAATCTTGCTTGACTGTACAGTAAATAGTGATATTTTTTAGTACCATTGAGCTCTGCTTATATAATATCTAAAATTATGGGGTGATACTGGTTGCTCTCTAAGTTCCAGCTAAGTGCTAACATTCTGTAATTTTTTTTTATTAAAGCCTCCCAGATATGCAGTGGATGGAAGGACAAACAACATCTCAAGCAACATTTTATTTCAATTCCTTATCCTCTGACCTGATTAAAACCTGTTTGTGTGACCTGGAATACCTACAAAGAGAATGGATTAGACATTTTTGGAGGGTGGGGTGTTTGCCCAACCTGTAGCCTCTTTCTTGGGCATTTTCTTCTATCTCCATAACTCAAAGAGTGAGCCCTGAGCAGCCTTGTGTCTCCTTACATCTCTGACCACAGTTGATTGGATGAAACTGGGCCAACCAAATACTCTCTCCTTCAGATGTTGGTTGGGGATTGAGAAACATGTCATACCCGGCTAGCCCCTTGAAGTGGCATATGGAAGTGAAAATATAGATGTATTTATTCAAAATTCTCAGACAGGCAAAGAAAACAAGTATGTAGAGAGCAAATAAAGCAATCATACAGATAGATATCTTGACTACTAGGTCCTGGGGAAAACCAGAGAATAACTCAAGCCCCTTGATGGCCTTCTATTCCATGGCTACTGTCCTTCACGAGCTTACTTGGTGTTTGGTATGCCCTTGAGTTTGGCAAGATAGATGCCCTGTGAACGTCTCATAAATTGTCATAATTTTCCTAATCTGGGTTTAGTGGATTCTTTCCCAGTGCCAACCAAGAACCTTGACTAAGAAAGAGAACTTGGAGGACTGGAACTAGTGAAGATTTGAAGAAGAGAAGATTAACTGGTGACCCAGGGGCTTCATATTTTTTAAAAAATGACACTCTGAATTTATTCTTAATGGAGATAAATAGATCTTTGTTTTTGTTTTTGTTGGTTGTTTCACTCAGAAGCTGATGGTTGATTCAGTTATACTCCTCAGTTTATGAAATGTAAAGGTCAAATTCCTCTTTAATTTTTATTATTTCTTTCACCTTTTTCTTTCCTATCCACATTCCTATTCTTCCCCATCTTCTCTTCATCCCAAGCAGCCACTCTAATATCTTTTATATTGGACCTTTTTTTTAAGTACATGGATATACCATGTACTTAAAAATACACAACACTGTTTCATTTACACATGTACTTTCTTTTGCCAAAAATAGCTTTGCATTACGAATCTCTTTTTGTGTTGAGTATGTTTTACTCAAAGTTATGGTATATACAACACTGATCAGGTCCAGACAAACTCAAAGTCAGATAGGGGGCATTTATTCTGTGCTTCCATTCTGGAGTCTCTTTATTGCTATTAGGGAAACTTTAGCTCTCTCTTACCCACTTCCATAGCCAACCCATATGAAAAGCTTCTCTGGGTTGTTTTCACAAAGTCATTATTATAGTAATACTGGTTTTGAAGTAGGTGTTTAACAAATGCTGATATGGTATATACAACACTGATCAGGTCCAGACAAACTCAAAGTCAGATAGGGGGCATTTATTCTGTGCTTCCATTCTGGAGTCTCTTTATTGCTATTAGGGAAACTTTAGCTCTCTCTTACCCACTTCCATAGCCAACCCATATGAAAAGCTTCTCTGGGTTGTTTTCACAAAGTCATTATTATAGTAATACTGGTTTTGAAGTAGGTGTTTAACAAATGCTGATTTATTATGTTGTGGTGTTTGTGTGTACATCACCACAGTTTTGAGATCTGTGTTGCTGCATATACAGCCAGGTCAATGCTTAATCCTGATGCATCTGATTCCATTTTATGTGTCTATCACTTTTTCTCTATCTATTCCCTTTGCAATAGATACTTAGATTGCCTCTATCTGCCTCTTATCATAGTTCTACAAACGGACATCCTTGCACAGTTCCATGTGTGATCTTTGGTGTGAGTTTCCTGGAGTGCATATGCAACAGTGGAATTACTGGGTCATCAGTATACATCTACTCAATCCCATTCAATTTTGTAAGATTGTTCTCTAGAAAAACTATTGTTTAATACTTGACAGTGGTATCCATTTTAGCCAATACTTAGTACTACATTGTTTTCTGAGTTTTGCAGCCTAGATGTGTGCGATCTCATTGTTATTTTAATTTGTATTTATTAAATTGTATTATTACTAGTAAGGGTACACATCTCTTCATCTATTCTATTAGCTATTAATTTCCTCTCCTGTCCAGCGACTGAACATCCTGGTTTGCCTGGGCTGGTTCAGGTTTTTGCTGGTTATTCTGGCATGGTTCTTCAAAATGCCCTTCTCATACTCTTAAAGTGTCCTTGTTTGGTTGACAAATTATGCGACCAACATACTCTTCATTTGTAGGCTTCTTAATATAGTATAGATATCAACCTCTTTGTTTAGATGATAAATAATCTTTAAATTTGCTGATTATCTACAACTTTGTGGTGTTTTAGTCAAACATAATCTCATTGATATAATCAGATTTGTTAAATTTGTATGTTTTATAACTTGGGGATCTTATTTAAGAAATCCTTTCCTGCCCCAAAGGTTATTTTCTACATTTTCTTCTTCTATTATTATTATTATTATTATTGCTATAGGGTGTCTGCGCTCGCCAGACAGAGAGAGACAGAGAGACAGAAAGCGAGAAATCACCCCCTGGGGGGATGGCCACACTACAATCCCTTCTCCATTCTCCTCTCGGGATCTTGGGCACACACACATACATGGCCGGTGTGAGTTTTAAGCCACCGGGTCCGGGACGTGAACCGCGGTCGACTACGTGGAAGTCTAGCAACATAGCCATTATGCTAACTGCTGGTCTCTATTATTATTTTTAAAATATTATTATAATTTTTTAATTGCCAGAGGGTGCATGTGCTTGCCAGAGAAAGATGGAGACCGTGAGAAGAAGAAATATGGAGAAAGCACTTCTCAGTGAAACATGATCATGTTGCAGTCTCTTCTGCCCCATTTCTCCATTCTGTTGAGATTTGGAAACACATGCACACATACCTAGCATATCGTATTTATTTATTTATTTATTTTTGAGAGGTTTTTGTTGTAGGGCACATGTGCTTGCCAGAAAGACAGAGAGGACAGAGAGCAAGAAATCACCTTCCAGGGAAGATGGCCATGCCACAATCCCTTCTCCTTCATTCTTCTCTTGGGATCTTGGGCATGTACACATACGCACCTGACATGAGTTTAAGCCGCTGAGTCTGGGACTTAAACCACGGTCGACTTCATGAAAGTCCAGCAACATAGCCATTATGCTAACTGCTGGTCCCCCAGCATGTCTTTTAACTTCTGGATCTGGGATTCAAACCATGGTCGGCCATATGAGATCCAGCTCTCTTAACCACTAGTCTGTGGGACTGGCTCTCTTCTATTAATTAATTAATTAGCTTATTTATTTATTTTTGATTTTGCCACAGGGTGCATGTGCTCTCCAGAGAGGAGGAGGGGGGGGAGAGAGAGAGAGAGAGAGAGAGAGAAATCCCCCCCCCCAGGGGGGGTGGCCACGGTGCACTCACCCCCCCCAGGGGGGATGGCCATGCTGCAGTCCCTTCTCCATTCTCCTCTCAAAATTTGGGGCATGTTTGCACACACACCCTATGTGATTTTCAAGCCACTGGGTCCTGGCCATGTAGGATTTAGCATCTTATCCACAATGTCGCCTGCTGGCTCCTCTCTTCTGTTATTTTACTTTTCACATTTAGCTCCTTAACATATCTAAGACTTACTTTTATGTATAGTCTGAGGCATGGACCTGACTTGATTTTTCTTCATGGAGTAAGTCAGTTTTCTCAACAACAGTTAACAAATATTTCATCCTTTATTCACTGGTTTGTGATGCTTCTCTACTTTATAGAGGACTGAAGTCCACCCAGACTTCCCTATTATGCTCTATTGATCTCCTGCTTTGCTTCTGTGTTAATGCTAGCACCCTTTAAAAAAATTGCCTTTTTCTTTATCTTAATATCAAATGAGTATGCAGTAGATACCTCCTCTTTGCTCTCATAATTGATTTTGCTATTATGCAACATTTGTTCTTCCATAAAAATATTGAATTTAGGACCAACAGATGATGTAACAGGTACTTTGGTGGACTCCCACAGTCAACTATCATTCGAATCCCAGACCCGGGGCAGCTTAAACCCCATGCTGGGTGCGTGTGTATGTGTACCCAAAATCCTGAAAGGAGACTAGAGGAGAAGGGATTGCAGTGTGGCTAACCCCCTGGGCGGAGATTTCTTGCTTTCTGTCTCTCTGCCTCTGTGGCGAGTGCACATGCCCTATAGCAAAAATCTCTCTCTAAAATAAATAAATAAATAAATAAATAAATAAATAAATAAATATATATTGTATTCAAGTTTTCAAGTTCCTCAAAATCTTGATTTCTCTCTCTCTCTCTTTTTTCAGATGGAATTTTGCTTATGTTGTAATCCTTCTGTCTCAGCTTCCTGAGTAACTGGGATGAATAGGAATAGAACACTGTGTCTGACTTTTAGGGCATGTCTGGAATCAAACTCAAATCTTTCATGTAGCCTCAACCTTCTAGAGAGCAGCATCAACCAGCACAATCTACTATGGTTGGGCCTGCTGCATTTTTATTGTCATTTTATTGAATTTATAGATTAATTTAGTGAGATGACATTTTTACACTAAAATTTCCCACCTAATTAGTATGGCATAACTCTTTAATTTTTTGTATCTTCTTTGAAGTTTTTAGATTTAAAAAAAATTTTGAATACTCCTAATTGTATTCATTATATGTATTCTTATTTTCTATCATATTTTTCTTTTGGCTGTTGCTGGTATAAGCTATTTTTTTTCTGTAGTAGAAACAGTCACCTTCTCTCATCCTAAATTCTTAATGATTAAAAACGTATGTTTATTACAATCTTTGTACATGGGGTTCAAAGTGTGGTCTTACTAAAACTAAAACAAAGCTCCCAGCTTATATAGGATCCTCAATCATGGATAAGTAATGAAAAGTTTATAACCAATAACCAATTGAATTATCTGACTATGGGTGTCAAGTATAAATTCATCATCAGAATATAGGGCTCCAGGGCTGGAGTGACCTTAAGTGTCATCTAGTTCACTCCCTGGATGCTTTTGTCCTCATGATGGGATATTAATTTGGTGACTGGCCAGCTGGTGCTTGAACCAGCTCAGGGACAGAAAAATCCTCAGAGACAGGAAATCCACTGCTTTGTGAAGCAGCCCAGTCCACATCTGTACAGTTCTCTTAATCTTTTGCCTTCTACTTGAGCAACTGTATTTTCTCTGTCATGTCTCTTATGTCTCCACTGTGCCTTGTACAGATGTATGCATATCAGTGTTTATCATTTTATACTGCAATAATTTTATTATTTTCCTTTTGCTTCTATAAGACTGTGAATGTCTTTGGGGAAGGGAGCTTGACTTAATAGGTTTTATTTATTGATTGATTTTGTGTTCTCAGGGTCTAGCTCATGCCTGATACCATGCAAAAATATTGAATAAAGGAGCCTGCATAGAACTTCTTATGTACCTCTTCTGATTTTCTTGGTGTTCTAATCTCTTAGATCCTCACCTGCTTGTCTACCTCAGCCAGCACTCTGTTAGCCCTTCTCTGATAGACCACTCATAGATACTACTCTGAGAAGCTACCATAGTCACTCACTCAGCTTGGGTCTATATGGCTTCATTTCCTGAGACTCACTGGTCACTCATGTAAGAGGTGGCTGCCTCTTCCTTGGCTATTGCTGTTCAGCCTGGCTAACCAGTTGTACATCTATAGTTTTTGGCTACTCCTGTCACTTAGAGACTTAGGTGAAATGTCAGATCCTGGGATGAGGAATCCAACATCCAA